CGCGCTCTCGCTTTGGGAGAGTGGAAGGAAATTCTAGGAAAGAAATGCCCAACTCTCTCCTTAACAGCCGGCCTCTGTTACGCAACCCGAGCCAACACAGCCTCCAGAGAGAAGTGGTCGTCCAACTTGGGGAGCAGAGCTAGCAGCCTGGGTTAAACACAGGAGGTGACCAGAGCAGGAGCTGGTTAAACCTTTCTGAGCTCCTAAGTACTTGATGCCAGAAACATGCTGGGAGCGCCTCATCGTTTGTCACCTTAATCCTCCCAGAAAACGTGATGCAGATCCCCCCCCATTGTACAGAAGGAGAAACTGAGGCGGGCAGCGGGGTTGAATGGGCCAAGCAGAGGAGATAAGACAGCTCACAGTTGTTTCCCTGCTAATACTGCACCCTTGGAAGCAGGTTGCGGGGAGAAACGGGCTTTGGCCTTGAGCTTAGAGCATGGCTGCGGGAAAGACTGGAGGACAGCAGAGGCAGGCATTAAGAGCCCAAGGAGCAGCTTTATTTCAGTCCAGGGACCAGCCAGAGGTGACTGGACAGCTGATGTGGACCTTCAGAGTTGCAGCTTCCATGCAAGGAGCCCCCAGAGACTGGGGAGCCGGGCTGGAGGGCTCCAAACCACAAAACTATGAAACCTTGGGAGGCAGCTTCTCTCCCCTCCTAAGGCTAGTTCCGCCTGCTTTGTCCCTCTACTGGCTGAGGTCTGGTCCACTCACAGGTTCCTTCTCTGTACCCAACACGCTGCACCCTTTAATCTTCGAGCACATACTTACATAACCCCTTGCAGTCACACACATTCATTCAGCAAACCTTCACACACACACACACACACACACACACACACACACACACACACAGGCTCAGGAGAGGAAGGCTGTGCAGGAGATTGGGCAGGCTCAGGACTCTTTCCCCCCATAGCCTGCAGCTCTTCTGGGCTCCCCTCTACTGGTTGGCCACCCTTAGTCCTCGGAACACCGAACATGAAACACCGACAGCAATCAAACCACAGAGGCTGAGAGGGCTACACGCCACCCCTTTCGGACATCCAGCATCCGGGCATCCCAGAGGTTTCACCAGCGGCAATGAGACCAGACGCCCTCTCCTGGGCCCAGCCTAGCTGCAAAACCCACTCCAAGAAATCCTGGACTATCGGAACCACCAGCCACACACCTGGTCTCAGTACCCCAAGTGTGTTAATACTTTTACATCCACACCTCCCTATGCAGGTCCCTGCCTTCCTGGACTCCGAACAGCTCCGCCCTCCTGGAGTGGGGGGGCTTTCCTTTTCTTTGGGATTGCCTCCCTTCTCCGAATTAGGCATACTTGGTTCCAAATAATGATAAACTTTCTGAGTCTGAAAGAACGCTTAAAGTTTAGGTCCCGAGATTATGCTGCTGCTCAATATTAAAGCGGCCCAGAGCAAACTTGCCGAGGAGCCTAATAAAAATTGATCCTCTCTGCTCTGCGGCAATTGGGAAATAGGCTGGCTGAGCCGGGTAATAGTGGAAGAAGGTTCCCTCCGAATGACAGATGAAGTCATAAACAAGTTTGATCTTGGAATCAAGCTTCGATAAATATTAAACACAGTCTGCCCCCCTTCACACGGGTGGATTATGATATATGGCACGTCCAAACTTTAAATAAGGAAATACCAGAGAAAATGATCTCAATAAATTTTCTAAGTATAAACGTTGATTATGTTTCGATTTTCATTCAAGGGCCTCTGCTGTTCCTTCTTTGGTGCAAATGACATCTTGCAATAGGCTTTTGGGGAAAAGGGCTCCCTATTTGAAAAAGAGAGCCCCAGAGGTGTACAATTTATGTAATCTGCAGCTGGAAAATGAATTGTGTAATTTATTGGAAAACAGAAAGTCATGAAGATTGGATCAGCATAGGCGAGTTCCGACACCCCCCCCCACATCCATCAAGTTCCAATTAACAGCCTAACCAGAGAGCTTTAATGGGTTTCCAATCTAGTGGCCTGATAGACTCATCAATTCCTCTGGGAGAAATTAAGAAAATCGACCGCCCCTTGGCGACGCAGTGTCATTCCTTTCTGCAACTATATGTCAAATTAAAAACACAATTAAAATTTAAACTGTTTCAATCAAAGGGTGCCCTGCAACCTATGTTTCACTTAATAGAACTTTGATGAAAATCTGATGCGTGCACTCCATCACCAAGGGGGGCCAGGGCAGTGAAGGAGCTCAGCAGAGAGGAGGGTTCTTTATATTTCTTGAAGACATCCACGCTGGGGTGAGGCATACCAGGTGACTCCACCTCACTAGTTCTGCTATGGCGATGGGTGCATTGCGCTCTCTCCAGTGTTCTTCTCTCTCACTGCACCTCTGCCCAGTTCCTGTTCCACTCCACTAGCTGAAATCCCAAGGGATGCCTTCTGCCTTCGGAACTCCCTAGCAACTGGGAATTTGGGCGGTTCTGCCCCAAGCACAAATCTCCTGGAGCATCAGACAAGGAAAGGGTCTCGAAGAATACAATCCATGGGTACCTCCTGGGAACTTTCCAAGGAGAGACTCTGCAGCCTCCTGCTAGCCCTCACCTCTTGATCAAAAAATGCCCCTGTGCCCTTTGGCATCCTGGAGGCGGGAGGGTAGGGAGGATTCCCAGTTGAATAATGGGCCCCTGGTGAGAGCTAGAGTTGTTTCAGTCCACCCAATTCCCCACTTCAGTTGCTGCTCCCCACCCCCACCCTCATGCCAGGGTACTTCTGTGGAAGAACTGCAGCCTAAATCTCAATCCCACAGCCCAGTCGGAGGCACCAGACAGAGCTTCAGTGTACACCCAGCCTGGTCATCTTCTTGGGCTGTTCAATCTCTTCCACTCCAGCTCCCAGATGTTTGCAGATCAAAAGGTCAAGGCCATCTGCTGTACACACTGAGATGTGCACACGTGCACACTCAAGCATGCACATTTCCAGACCCACGCACCTAAGCACAAGGTATCCCTTGTGTCTTATAGTCAGGAAGGGCTTGCACATAGCAAGTGGACAAGAAGCTGAGAGGAAGAGCATCAAGCATGGGTCATTCTGGGCCACTCTTATGTCTGGGCAATCACTGTCCCCTGGGTCTTCTACCTGTGTGCAGGATTTCTCTGGGACTCACAGTTCTTACCCTCTGACTCCTTCACACTAGGTCCAGGACAGGGGGCTTCTCCTAGTTACTCTGTAGAGTCTAAGTTGGGACTGCTAAGGAGAAGAGGTCCCTGGGCTGGGTCCTGGGACACAGGACATTGAAAGCCTTGAGAGTAGAGCCAAGTGAAGTCTTGGAGGGGCCAAAGCTTTGACCAGCAAAGGCTCAGGCCTCAAAGGGCTCTCCAGGGGAGAGGTGTTTCATGCAAATGGGTGAAAGCAGTGGTGAGTGGCCCTGGCTCAGGAGGACCCACATCTCCAGGCCTCACCAAAGTGCTTGAAGGCACAGCCTGCAGTCCTAGGGGTCCTCAAGGCTCCCATCCACACCCCCATCTCTCTTGCCCAACACATAGCTGCAGAAAAGAAAGCAAATCACACTGACCTTTTTGCCTCCTCTTTCTCCTAGCCCCACTTCCAGGCTCTTGGGCAAGGAGAGGTGGGAGCACTGTGGTTCTCTGCTGTGGCCTCCAGCTCTGGACTGACTGCAGAAGCCTCCCAAGGGAGTCTCCCCACTCAGAACACACACCTCTGGCAGGGGGGCAGTTTATATCTGTCTTGCTGTTGTTTGATGTACACATACCCACTCTATTTACTACCAAATAAAAGAAATACATCTGTGTTGCCAACAGAAACAGGTCAAGCACTGGCTCCTTGGTCTCCCAAGGCCTGGAGAAACTTAGAGGTACTTAAAAACACTCAGAGCGGCACAGCCCACACCATAGGAACTTTGGTTTGGAGTAAGGTCCTGGCTCTTAGGAGTAGGAGAGCTAGGAGTAGGAGTAGAGAGCTAGCTCTGCTGGTTTAACCAAGTGACTTGTGAGGAGGCAGTGGAGGCAAAGTTGTCCTAAGATTTTTTTCAGGCTTGTGCAGCAGTGTGGGAGGCCACTCAGCTTCCTGCCCATCGATTTCCAGGATTCAGCTCAGCTTGCCTTCACCTGGGGCCATTGGAGAAAAACAATTGTCCAGGAACAGAGTGTTCAACGACATCTATGTTTTAGCCATCTCAGTGATGCTAAATTCTTATGTGGGTGTCTGCACTAGAATCCCATCCATTTGTGTCTGTCTGGAAGTATAAAGTGGGTGCATGTGTGGGCTGAGTGTTTTTGTCAAGTATGAGCATATCCTATGTTGTTTACATGTGCTTTTGTTTGGGTGATGTAGAAAGGATTCAGATCCATAGTTTAAGTCATTTACATTGATGAAGATTAACTGGGAGTACATAGCTGGAAGGATCTGAAGTCAGAGGAGGGAGGAAGAGAGGCAGGGGGAGAGAAGGGGAACTCTACAATCTGAAGGAAGGGTAAAAGAACAAAATGGGGGTGTCCACTCAATGTCCCCAAAACAGGCTCTCTGGCTTCCCCAATGGAATATCCAGCAGAGATTTTAGGTAGCCCCCTTTTTTGTGGGTGGCTCCAGCAGCTCCCAGCAAGCTTTGCAGAGACTTTGTAGGTAAGGCAATAAAGTGATACCAGCCAGCTGTCCAGATGTGAGAGTCCCATCGAATGGTTTCTCCATCTCTCCTGACACAAAGGTCTCAGGAAAACCTGCAGTGCAGCCTAGGATGCTTCCTGCTCAGAGAGGCTTTTGTGTTCCTCATCTCTGCTCCCGGGCTCCACTCTTACAGTGGGAGAAATGCAAGGAACCCATTCAGTGGGAAGGAAGTGGAGGTTTCCCTGGGGCGGGTTCCTAGGCTCACACAGCCTGTCCCAGGGCTGAATCACCTCCTCCCCCAGGGTGGCACTGGGTAAAGACAGATGAGCTCAGATAGGGAAGCTCCCCAAGTGTGTGTGTGTGTGTGTGTGGCAGGGGTAGGCAGCCCTGAGCAGAGCAAAGCATAAACTGTACTTGTGGAGAACCAGTTATTTCTTGACTTTGTAAAAACCAGGTCAGTCAAGAACCGTTTTCTAGAATCCAAACAAATAGAGAAGTGTTTTCTTGACTTTTGATAACATCGTGTTCTGGCTGTAAAATCTAAGGACATGTTTTCTATTGCAACATTATTTTTAATGAGCTGTTACTGGCCCGTCCTGCAGTTAGTATTGCCAACAATAAAAGGCATCACTATGTTTGCAGGTAACACAAGGAACAACATATTTTGACCCTGAATTTCTGTTTATTTTTCATTTATGACACATGCCCTCGTTTTTATTCCAAACCAGAGGGAAATAAAAGTAGATCTATCTTCACTGGAACCCGGACTAAAATTTTGCCATAAATAAGCGTGCTGGTTTATTTGGGGGCTGTTTTCCATCAACAGAAAATGATACTGGACGTTTTAGCCACAGTGGAATCAACTGTGTCGACTGAATTCGAGGAGCCTGGTGACACACCGGGAGAAGGGAACTGAGAGGCGCTCTCCAGCGGTCGCTTCTGGCCAGCGCTCTCCCTCCGGAAACTTCTCAGCCTTTGTCATCCCCGTCTCCCCCTTCCGGCTCCCAAGCTTCAAAGTGCACTGCGAAGAAGGGGTGTGCATGCATATCCCCAGCTTGAAGGCAGGCGGCACAGCTGGGCTGGCGAGGTGCGTCTAAGCACCTGCTCCCTAGGGCCCACCAGCTCTTCCCAGAGATCGCGGCGCGCCTTGCCTCTCAGGCTGTGCTCTGAGACAGTGGCGGCTGCGCGCCTAGCAGCGCGCGGAAGCGAACATTGTGCTTCCGGGCGTCGGTCCGGACGTGGGGACCCAGAGAGGCTGCCCCTCAAGGTGTTGAGCGCCGGTGGACAGAGATTCTCTAATTGGAAAGGGTCACAGTCCTTTCCGTTTCCGCAGCTGCAGCCACAGCCAGGTGGCTTCTGTTCCCTATCACCTAGCACATCTGGAAAGAGCCCAGGCTTGAGCAGCCCCAGCAGTCCTAATTCCCTCAAGCACCACTAAAGCCTCCCCATCCTAGAAATGGTAGTCACAGTCCAGAGAGCTAGGTGGCTTTCCCAGAGGCTGCCCTCTCGAGGCCAGGCCTCTCCCAGCTGGTCTAGAAGAGCAGTCTCCTACTGCAGTGAAACTCAACTTACTTGCTTCTTTCCTCTAACACCTCTGGGGGCATCTGGAGTTACCAAGTTCGTAGCTAGGTATGTTAATGATGCCCTGACCCGAAACTCTCACTTTTGAAGGAACCATGTCTCAGGAATAGAACGAGAGGCTGCTGCCCTGTGCTTAGAAATAACAGATGATTTTAAAGGGACTGCTGTTTTGCTCCACCTCCGAAATCTAGGTAGAAACAGGTCTTTACCCCTTCTGTTTCTCCGTCTTCCCTGCTCCCAGGCTGTTTCAAACCATGGAAGACACAGGGGAGAGAGTGTCCCTCATCACAAACAAAGCCACCTCTGTCTCTGCTGACTGCTGAATTATAGGGGTGTGCATCCAGGTTGGACTTAAGCACAGAGGCAGCCAGAGAGCGAGACTGAAAAGAGTTTCGGAGACACCTGCTCTGGGAAAAATTATCCAAAGTTACACACTCTGGCAACATGAAAGCCTTCATTTTTCTTTTCTTTTTAATTAAATTTCACGACAACATTAAATGTAACAATATTTTGTGAACTTTTTTTCTCTTTTTCTTAAAAAGGGACTGATCCTGGCAGAGGACAGAGAGGTTAGGGGAAACAAACTACTGCAGACCAACAGGTGTAGCAGACAGAAAGAAAACAGACTGAGTGGCAGAGCAGAAAGCCCTGAAGATGTGAGGGTGTATTTTACAAGAAATCTGTACATTTATCAAATAAATTAAAATTCTCCTAAATTGATTGTCCTTCACTTAAAGCGCTCCAGTGGACCTAACTCCTTTGAGCATTGCTGCCTATCCTTGTTTTTGCTCTTCCTCCTTTTTGTCTATTTAATTTTCTCTTTCTACACAAGTGACTGTGATTACACTGCCAAAAAGTCTGCTTCCCTCCTGGAGGAAGGAGCAGGGCTTTCAAGAAATTTTGTACAATATTGCACAGGTCAAAAAAATAGATACTGCAGAAAAAAAATGTAGGGGGAGAGAATAAAAACTGTTTTTTAAAAATAAACCATTCTCTCAAAAATGGGGAACAAGTAATAGTAATATTAATAATTTACTGATAGGTGAAATTCCCCGAATAAATGGTACTAATAAATAAGAGCACTCAAACCCGACTAGAGGTGGAACTGTTTCAGTTTTCAGAGTCCTGATTTTTTGGCTGTTTTATCTTTTCCCTTTAAACAATTAGAGAATTCTTCGATCACAAAGTGAGACAGATGAAGAGATTAATTGCCAGACCTTTCCCGAGAGAAAAGCAGTTTCCCATAAGAGGCTGCTCTGATTCTGAAAACTGGAGAAGTAACTGGTTAGGGTGGGGAGGAAGAACCACATCCCGAAATCCAGAAAGAAAAGTACTACCTTATTAATTCTTTCCCTCTGGATTCTCGGTGTTCTATAGAAAGTGAATAAAGTAAAGGAATTATTTGGGTTTTGAGCTTACTTTTCTTCTATTTAAAAAAAAAAGTCACAGCGCAATGTAAATTTAGGGATAGGGCTGAACATTTCACAAAAGCTTTCAGCCAAAATATTTGACCTGGACACTTTGTCTTTTTCCTGCTTTCTCTTAATTAGTAGCCAAAATCAGAAATAAGAGGAGAAGCGCCTCAAATCCATTAGGGATGAATTGCACGAAAATGCATTGCAAATACTTACAAAATGCTACCGATTGGGGAGGAGGGCCAGGCGGTGCGCCGAAGCCCGGGTTCCCAAGGCCGCTGGACGTTTCTGCGCCCTCCGCCCGGCCCAGTCTCCTCCAGGATCCGGGAAGGTGGCCGGGCACCCCCTCCACCTCCCCTCTCGGGCCTCAGACCGGCCGTAGCAGCGGCACGGACGAGACCACGGGGTGCGAGTAGTAGACTGGGTGCGGGAAGGTGAGCAGCGGCTGGCTAACCGGCACTGGGGCCCCTGC